TATTAAGCAAGTCCTATTGAGCAAGTCCTATTAAGCAAGTCCTATTGAGCAAGTCCTATCAGAGCAAGTCCTATTGAGCAAGTTCTATTAAGCAAGTCCTATTGAGCAAGTCCTATCGAGCAAGTCCTGTTGAGCAAGTCCTATTGAACAAGTCCTATTAAGCAAGTTCTATTAAGCAAGTCCTATCAAGCAAGTCCTATTTCTCCAATTTCTTCTTAAAACTCTAAAGCTTATTTAAATACATTTTACTTAAAACTTTAATAAAACTAATCTCAAAAATATTTCCACTAACATTTATGCACTTTTTGGTAGACTTTTGAGTATGAATTTAAGAATTATTGGCTTTCAATTAGCGAATGTCTGACTAATGTCATGAAAATTGATCTAAATACTGTTATTACTTAAAACATTTAACAAATTCTTTAAATTTATTCATTTCATCCTTTAAACATTGACAAAACATAGAAGATTACATTTTGTCTAGAAAATTCTTTCGCTAAACTCAAAAGAAACCTTGTGGATGATTGTTTCTTACTTTTCTTCTCATTCTTCCTTTCTTCTTCCTTTCACTCTCCCGTAATTTCCCGAAAAACGAGGAAGTTCACGATCATCATGAAAAGAAACCTAGATGATTGGTAGATAAGAGAAAAGAGTTTACATTTCTACAACTCATGAATGAAACACAAAAACTAGGAGCTAAAGTTTTGGATTTTGCTCAAGTATTGCTATTTTTTTAGTACTTGAAATGTCCTTTTTCTTATTGAATAGGTTCTTAGACCTAAGCCAGGTCAATAGGCCTTCGGTACCGAAGGAGAATAGCTTCTTAGACCAGAAGGAGAAGTCAGAGAATAGCTTCTTAAACCTAGGCCAGGTCAAAGTCAAATATCGATCTAATCTAGCTAACCATAGTTTGGTTCTTTCGAACAATTAACAACAACTTTCGAACAACTAACAACAAACAACTAAACAACTTTCGAACAATAGCCAATTATTGTCAAATAATCTTATTAACTTGATCGAAATTCTATTGATTTAAAATGAATTGTTAACTGGGATTGTTTTGCTCTTGTTTTATTACTCAACTAATCAAATTCATTGAATGTTTTCAAGAGATCATCACAAGACCAAAAAGCTCAATAAGAGCCTCCGGAAATGTCTGAAGTGCTTGAAGAAAAGGAAAGAAAAAGGATTTTGAATTCATTCGTGATTACGGACATTTCCTGAAAAAAGATGTTTCAAGAATTCGGAAATGGGACATCAAAAATCGTCTTAAGAGGGACATTAACGGAAGACAGAAAGGATTTTTTTGATTTGGAATGGATAGCCAGTCACTATTATTCTACTAGTCACTAGCCAGTCACGATAGTCACTATTATTTCAATGGAAATTTCTGATTGAAATCATGAGCTTTTCCTTTCCCTTTCCATCTCTTCCAGTCATTCAATATTTGATCGATATTTGACTTTGACCTGGCTTAGGTCTAAGAAGCTATTCTCTGACTTCTCCTTCTGGTCTAAGAAGCTATTCTCCTTCGGTACCGAAGGCCTATTGGCCTAGCTTAGGTCTAAGAAGCTATTCAACAAGAAAAAGGACATTTCAAGTACTAAAAAATAGCCTATATCTTACTTATAATGTCACTATTATTTCAATGGGCATTTCTGATTGAAATCATGAGCTTTTCCTTTCCCTTTCCATCTCTTCCAGTCATTCAATGAATAGCTTTGACGTCTTTTTTTTTCTGAATTTCGTTTCTTTCCTTTTCACTATGCTGAAATTCGTTTATCCGTCGAAACCCCCGACTCTCAGCTGACCAAAAATATATCCTAAATATTGGTTTCTATTAAAAGGGGACTGAGATTGTTTTGCTTCTTTAACTGGGATTGTTTTGCTCTTGTTTTATTACTCAACTAATCAAATTCATTCGAATGTTTTAAAGAGATCATCACAAGATCAAAAGCTCAATAAGAGCCTCCGGAAATGTCTCAAGTGCTTTTCACTATGCTGAAATTCGTTTATCGAAACCCTCGACTCTCAGCTGACCAAAAATATATCATAAATATTGATTTCTATTAAAAGATTTTCTTTAGAATTGCAGTTATATTGCTGCTTAACAAGAAATTTTAAATAAACTGTCTATGAGGCTTGTTGAAATCTTGATAAAAGTTAAGATAAAGATTGAGAAAGAAATTCTGACTTAGCTGCTTGTCTAAGCTTGAGTTCTTTAATTCGAATTCGAATTCGAAACTGAAGGAATGATACTTTGATTAGTCCTAAGGCTGGCTCAGAGAGGACAGAAACCTCTTGTAGAGTAAAAGGGCAAAAGCCAACTTGATCTTGATTTTCAGTACGAATACAGACCGCGAAAGCGTGGCCTATCGATCCTTTTGAATAAGAAAGTTTCTTGCAAGAGGTGTTCTTGAGTTCTTTGATTCGAATTCGAATTCGAAACTGAAGGAATGATACTTTGATTAGATCCGATAGCTAGATCAATGGCAAAAATTCGTAGATAATGATGGGTTATACTTTTTGGAATAATGCTATTTTTGTTATAATGCTTTGTGGAATAATGCTATTAAAATGAATTTTTCCCAGCTAAGACAGGACTTTTTAAAACACTCTTTAACAACTTTTTTCTACAATTGTAGAAATACGAAGAACTTGAGTGAGTAAGTGATTCTACTGGATTACTTTGAATTCATCAGCTTACTTTGAGTTCATCAGCTTGCTTTGAATTCATCAGCTGACCTTGAGTTCATCAGCTTACTTTCAATTCATCAGCTTACTTTGAATTCATCAGCTGACTTTGAATTCATCAGCTTGCTTTGAATTCATCAGCTTACTTTGAATTCATCAGCTTGCTTTGAATTCATCAGCTTGCTTTGAATTCATCAGCTTACTTTCAACAGCTTACTTTGAGTTCATCAGCTTACTTTGAGTTCATCAGCTTGCTTTGAGTTCATCAGCTTACTTTGAATTCATCAGCTTACATTGAATAACTTGAAGCTTTTGATAGGAACAAGCAAGAGCATTAGTCCCTCGAAATCCCTCAACTCAATTCCCAACGATCTCGTACACTCGTTGATCAAAACATTCGTGTTTTCCTCGATTAAACTTTGAGATTTCAGCAATGATTGTCTTTTTTCTCTAGAAACAAATCGGATTTCATCTTTCTCGAAATTGAGAGTCCATCAAATCAATTCCATCAAATCCACGTGGATTCAAAAGACCCAATTCTCCATATTGCCCCGAAAATCCCAGGTTTCTCCATTTCTTTTTGTCTTTTCTCTTTTCCAAAAAGACACATATGGGTAATCGAATCGTCTTCGCCCATTTTTTTCTCATCCATTTTTCTCGAAACTCGTTCCACTGTTCAGAAAGCCCAGCTCTTCTTTGGTCTCTACATTCGAAATCCTTTTTTCCCCAACCATAAATGAGAACAGATTGCGGTATTATTTTTGTTCATTTACGTTCATTAAGCTGTTCATTAAGCCTAAGCCTAGCCATAACTTCTCAACGCTAAATTGTATTTTATACTTATCTTTCACTTATAGTTAATACTAAATCGGCTAAATATTTTCAAAGATTTTAAGCTAATATCACTTTATTTCATAAAAGATTTCCAACTTTTCATGTACTTTATTCTTTCATAGCTTCTTTATAGCTTCTTTATAGCTTCTTTATAGTTCCTTTATAGTTCCCATTTAGTTCCTTTGTAGTTCCCATTTAGTTCCTTTGTAGTCCCTATTAAGTTCCTTTATAGTTCCTTTATAGTTCCCATTTAGTTCCTTTGTAGTTCCCATTTAGTTCCTTTGTAGTTCCCATTTAGTTCCTTTGTAGTCCCTATTAAGTTCCTTTATAGTTCCTTTATAGTTCCCATTTAGTTCCTTTATAGTTCCTTTATTTGCTTTGACGTTATCTTAAATCAATTTTTGCTTATTTTAAGCTAAAAGTGCTTTAAATAAACTAAGAAAAAGTGTTTTGAGACTGAAAAAGAGACACAAGCCAAACGTGTAAGCACCAAATTCTTATTTAAAAACAATAATTTTCATTGTTTAATCTTAATCCACTAAAAACTAGAATTTGACTGAAAATCTCCAGCAAAATAATCAAATTCCCGTCAGTAAAGTTTTCAATAAAATGAATCAAATCGTATTATGACGAAAAATTGATTTGATTTTGATTCTTTTGATTCAAAAACGAGAAGTTTTTGGTCATTCTTGAAATCTTTTCAAAAGATAGTAATCAAAAGATAGCATTCCTTCAAATCTAAGCCTAATCCTTAAAACTTTCTTTTGCTCAAAATCGATCTCAATTTCATGAAACTTTTTGCATTTTGAAGGAATTTCAAGAATCTTTAAATATTCTATGATTTCTTCTCCCGTTCCTCCCCCAAAAAAGAAACTGATTTTTGAGATTTTATCGTAGAATTTCATTGGATTCAACTTTTTGTTTAGCTTTTTTTTTTATTGAACTTGTTTGTATAAACTCAAAAGAAACCTTGTGGATGATTGTTTCTTACTTTTCTTCTCATTCTTCACCCTCTCCTTTGTTTCTTACTCTTCTTCTTCCTTTCACTCTCCACTTTTCACTTTCCTTTCTTACTCACTCTAATTTCCCGAAAAACGAGGAAGTTCACGATCATCATGAAAAGAAACCTAGATGATTGGTAGATAAGAGAAAAAAGTTTACATTTCTACAACTCATGAATGAAACGCAAAAACTAGGAGCTGAGATTTTGGATTTTGCTTAAGTATTGCTATTTTTTAGCACTTGAAATGTCCTTATTCTATGATTTCTTCATAGAATAAGGACATTTCAATTTCAATTCAAATTGAAATGTCCTTATTCTATGATTTCTTCTCCCGTTCCTCCCCAAAAAAGAAACTGATTTTTGAGATTTTCATTGGATTCAACTTTTTGTTTAGCTCTTGCTTTTATTGAACTTGTTAGTATTGAAATATTTTCCAGAAAAAAGGAACAGATGAGTTGAGTAGTGGGAAATGTTTCTGTTCGTCGTATTGGCGACAGCCGCCCGCGCCACCGATATGGCCTTTCAACCACTTACAAAAGTTTGTTTAAAGTTTTGAAAATGGAAAGCTGACATGAAAAACTAGTCTAATTTACCTACCGTAAATACTGTAATTGGACCCCACCCCACTAATAGTACCCCACCCTAGAGGGGGAGGGAAAAAATTGTACCCCATCGGGTCCAATTACAGTATTTACGGTAGGATAATTCAGTTGAAAATCTTACATCAAACAAGTTCGAAGCTATTAAACAAGTATGGAAAAATCATCGCTTCATCTTCCTTTGCTTATTAGAAACAAATTTTTGATTGAATATTCTTAATATGACTGTAAACTGTTGATAGAATATAGAACAGAGAATTATGTTTAATAAAAATATGAAAAGAAATGAATGAGAAAGAATTTGGAAGCAAGGGGAATCAAACCCCGACCTCAGCTTCAACCTCAGACTACCAGTCAGATGCTCTACCACTGAGCCCTGACGCTTTTTCTTGAGGAGAAAAAATAGGAAACACAAAGAAGAAAGCAACACTAAACAAATTTTATCCTTTTTTTAAGCTTTTATAAACATTTTTAGAGCATTTTTGATTAAGTAATATATTTTTAAAATTCAAATTCGTAAAGAAGACTTACTTTATCTGAATAAGTTTAAAGTAAAGTTTATAGTAAAGTTTACAGTAAAGTTTAGAGTAAAGTTTATAGTAAAGTTTATAGTAAACTTTACAGTAAACTTTTAAGGTAAAGTTTAGAGTAAAGTTTAGAGTAAAGTTTACAGTAAACTTTACAGTAAAGTTTACAGTAAAGTTTAGAGTAAAGTTTATAGTAAAGTTTATAGTAAACTTTACAGTAAACTTTACAGTAAATAGTTTCCTTTTTAGGATTTTATCAAGCAAATCGAAGACGAGAAGTACAACAAATACGCCACTCCGACTCAATATGATGGTTTGTTTTTGTGAATTTTCCTATGCACTACCTCTTTTGAAAAAAATCTTTAGCCTATTTTTAAGAAGGTTTTTTGCTTTTACTAACCATTTTCCCCAAAAACAAACATCAATTTCCCTTTTAGAATACGTTCAGGAATTTGGTAAAGGTAAGCAATTGCTGAAGACGAAGAGAAATTCAAACAAAATTGAAAAGGGGAGAGGTTGTGAAGGGAAATTTTAGGGAAAGAAATTGATGGCATTGGTTTATTTCCTTGGTTTTCAATCAAAGAATCATCGTTCAATTCCTTGAGCAGTCTATTTTTTGTTTATTTACTTCTTTTCTGATTTGATTTCATTTTCAAAAGTTGAAATAGTTCTGAATTGATTGGTGAAATTGGTGCCGAAATTCCAAAGTTAGAAAAAAGTCTGAGCAAATCTGAAGTTAAAATTTCAAATCTAACGTATTCTCTCTAATAGTAGTGGTGTTGATGTTGAGTTGATGACTATTTTACGGTTTCCAAGCTTTTGCAGAAGCTCAACACTGTAATCATCGTCAAGATCTCATCGTCAGCTACATTTTCCGACCTCACATCGATAGGTTCTGATAAGCGGCTCTCGAGATTTCGAGGAATTTAGGCGTAGCTTAGGGTGTATTACTATTAGAGAAAATACGGTAACGATTCTAAAACCGTGCCCCACATTTTCTGTATAGCTACCCTTTGCGGGCAACGATTGCAACTAATTGGACAGCTACCCAGCAATTTAAGGCGTCAGTCTTTTCTTCCCCATGGTTACTGGATTTTCTCTAATAGTAGTGCATCCGACCGAGTCGAGTTGGTGACTATTCTACGGTTTCCAAGCTTTCACAGAAGCTCAAGACTCTAATCATCGTCAAGATCTCATCGTCAGCTACATTTTCCGACCCCACATCAATAGGTTCTGATAAGTGGTTCTCGAGATTTCGAGCAATTTAGGCAACGCTCAGGCTACTATTAGAGAAAATACGGTAACTCTTAAAAGTAGAATATAACGTTAATTTTTTTTTAACAAACTTTACCTAGAATTGATGCAAAAAGACTTAAATTTTCTAAACGAAAGCAAAAATATAACTTTAAAAAGTTATTTCAACTGATTTATTGGTTATTTCAACCAATAAATCATCTTTGAACTTTCTAAATCTAAAATCAAAATGAAAAATATTAAAACTAGAAAAAGTTATTCAAAAAAAAAAGAAATTCGACTTATTTGCCACGATTTTTTTCTCGAATTTACAACCTCTCCCAAATAAAAATTTGGTTTTCACTCATTCAAATCAGGGGTGGGACAAATGCGACCTTTTTTTTGCGCACCTGGACATTTGCGCATCTTCTGGAAAAGGCCTTTGCTGGAAAAGGCCTTAGGCAAGGCCGTAGAGCTTCGAAAATATTTCCATATAAGAGAATTGTATGCGTAGATTCCGAATTTCAACAAATCAGACCTCGCTGACACGTCAAATTTGGGCAAAAAGGCAAAAACTGCGGAAAAGCGTTAAGTTGCGTAGTTTTTGCCTTTTAGCCCAAATTTGACGTGTCAGCGAGGTCTGATTTGTCGAAATTCGGAATCTACGCATACGATTCCCTTCTATGAAAACGTTTTTGAAGCTCTACGACCTTTCCTAAGACCTTTTCCAGCAAAAAAAAGGTGCGCAAATGTCCAGGTGCGCAAAAAAAAGGTCGTATTTGTCTTACCCCCTCAAATCACACTTTTTGGCTGTAACTTAATGATTCACTCATTAATTTTTTCAAAAAACAAAAAAGAAAAATAAGATTTTCTTGCTTTCCCTTCTTCTCATTCACATTTTTTTCATCTCTATCGCTTTTGTGAGAAATTTTTGAGAGTTTCTGTTGAACTCATCAGATGAATTCACTCATTCCATGCAACCGAGTGCTTCTCACAAGAAAATTACAGCTTAAACTCGATAAACTAGAGTTTACAGGAATCGCAACGAATGTGACTATGTACATGTACATAGAAGGAATCTCTTCATTTAGTGCACAAACGATGGATTATCATTTGGATATGTACTTTCAACAGGTTTTCTTTTCATTCATTTTATCTGAGACAAATTGACTAACAAAATTATCGAGTTAGATGTCATTTTATTTAGAAATAGAAACGAATTAGAAATAAAGTAAAGTGGATGTAGAATTTCTAAAGAAATACAAACGAAATTCGCAATGGATTGGGTAAAATAAGGCAAAAAATGGTTTAGTCGCTCAGCCATTCCAAAAGGAAACCTTATGCCCGAGGGGTTTGCCAGATCGTGAGTGATTACCATGCCACATAAAGCACACCTCCACAGTCATTTAAAGGGATTTCTCTTTTGCTTTATAGATATACAGTACTGGACAATGAATATCATATCTGAAAACACAGAAGGAGGAGAGCGCCCCTCCCTACCTCTTCGATGAAATCATCACCTACACTACTGGACAATGAAATATCACATTTGAAAAACGATCGTCACTTTCGCGCGTCTGTAACTCCCTTGTCTTTGCGTTTAAACTATTAGTGTTATACATTTTCTGAAAGCTCTTTTCAAGGGCTACACAATGGTAATATTAATATTTACAAATACGGTAAAGATAAGGAAGTTACAGACGCGCGAAAGTGTTTTTTCAAATATGATATTTCATTGTCCAGTAGTGTACTTTATTCAAGATCTGAGATAAAGTGCGCTAGATTTAAGATTAAAACACATGAATTCATACACATAACACGAAAAGGGCCGATAAAAAAAGGTCGATAAGCAACACGATATAATATATGTAATTTATGGGTAGCGTATTCAGCTGTTGCGATACGTATCTGTGTTGTAATATATGGGTAGCACAGATAGCGTCAAGATCCTTGACGCTAGAGCTTCAAGACCACTAGAGCTTCAAGATCAAGATCATCTACAGATAATTGAAAGGTTTCGAGACTATTGGACTCTCTCAAAACTCTGGGGAGTCGATTCCAAGGTCCCAGGTCCAAATTCTGGCAGTTCTTATTGGAAAAGAGTTATACACAAACTTATTGAAGGCGACTGGAATTTGATAGATGATACAAAAAGAGCTCTAAATTTGTACACCCTGACAATTTGGTGTGACCTGACCTGTGACCTGACAATTTGGCTTTAGAGAGAAGATCAACTGTAAGATGAACTTTAGGAGTGGTGGGATAAACGATTAGCCCACAATGGATCCTCGCCAATCCTTGTTAAGGATAAAGAGGTAAAAAGTTCAACTTTTTAGTGTCAATTTATGATATCAGAGTTTTTCTTTAATACAACAATTCTTTTTGAGGTTTTCAAACACATGTGGCATCCGGATTTGTATTTTGCCAATGCCCGTTCTGCTTCTTTTCAGGTCTTTTTTTAAAAATCCATTACCCAAATGAATACAAAATTGAATTCTTTTACCATTACGTTGTTTGGGATCTTTCAGGAAATCACTGAGGACAATTTTCTAGTCTGGGTTTATCCCGATGGAAAAGTTTGGTACGATTGTAGGTATGTTTTGAGAATATTAACAACAATATGATGATCTTAGGATATCACTTTGTGTGATATGTGTGCAAAATCTTGAGAACTATCCACTAGATCGACAACGCTGCGAGTTACGGATATTGAGTTGTAAGTTAGCTCATCTTATCAAAGAATTTGGGACTTACTATTTGACTCAGAATGTAACACTGATTCTGAAACAATGTGATCGTTCTGTGACCAATTGCAGGTCAAAGAACTGCAGGTCAAAGAACTGCAGGCCAAAGAACTGCAGGTCAAAGAACTGCAGGCCAAAGAACTGCAGGCCAAAGAACTGCAGGTCAAAGAACTGCAGGTCAAAGAACTGCAGGTCAAAGAACTGCAGGCCAAAGAACTGCAGGCCAAAGAACTACAGATCAAAAGAACTGCAGGTCAAAGAACTGCAGTTCACCTTTCCTTAGTCTATAACCTCCAAAAGCAATACTCTCTACTCAGAATAATAGAAAACTTTTAGCATGTAACTCTCAAGATCCCGAAAGGTTTACTAACAAAAAGCCAATGAGATCTCATTCTATTGAGCTTCTCTTGTTTCAGATGCTTACCCTGAATCGCAACTCCGCCTGAGATGGGCTCAGCTTGATGGAGCATCGGCAATCGATCGAAATCCTGATATCCGAATGCCTGACATGGCCATAAAGAGTATCGAAACTGGTGTATGCAATGGAACTTATGCTACGGGTAACTCTTCAAAAGATAACTAAACTTACTATCAAGATGCTTTTTCTATTTTGATTTTAAAGGTCGAGAGTTTTGATTTTGATTTTGATTAATCCCCTCTCTCAGGAAATCGAATTTTTCTTACCAGAATGTAACACTGATTCTGAAACAGCGTGATCGTTCTGTGACCAATTGCGGGCCAAAGAACTGCAAATCAGCTCATTGCTTGTCCATTACTCAATACTTGATCCTAGCTTTCTCAATTTTAAATCTTTTAGGTACATGGAGTTGCATGACGGCTGTTTTCGATGTGGAAAGAGAAAGAATGCATCATATCATGCAAACTTATCTACCAACAGCACTCATTGTTGTCATATCTTGGTAAAGACTATATTAGTATTAAGGATAGGAAATCAAATTAGCTTAACAACTAGCCTATGTTCTAGGTTCAACTTCTGGTTGGATGTCGACTCAGCTCCGGCACGGGTTTCCCTCAGCATCACCACTCTTCTCACCATCTCTACTCAAGCAAATGCTGTCAAATTAGCACTACCTGAAGGTTTAAGTTGAATATTTTATTTAACGAATAGATTTTTAGTTTCTTATATGAAAGCTATCGATGTTTGGATGGGTTCGTGCATGGTAAGTACAAAATGGGAATTTCGATTGTTTCTTATTTAAAAGCTTAAGTTTGTGGCCCTTAAGGCCCTTAAGTGTGGCCCTTAAGGGTGACCTGTAGTCCACCATAGACTGTGTTCCTCGCGAGTAATGCGATTGTTCTGAAATTTTGGGAAACTATGTAATCGATGAAGCGTTTTATTTAAAAAAAAGTATGCAATCACTCAAAAATATATTAGCTCATGAATGCTAGAAACCAGGATTTTGAGCTCTTACATTAAAAGCTCAAAAGGCTCATGCCTGAAAAAAGTTCTAAAATAAAACATTTTTCAAAAATTCGAAAAAGACATTTTGTAGATTAAGGATAGGGCTTTTGAATCAAGCAAACCGTTTTTTTGATTGGATAAGCCGTTTTTTCAGAAAACACATTACCAAAAAAACGATCGTTTATAACTTGCCAACCTAATAATTTGATCGATTGCAGATTTGATTTGGAATCAGCACGAAAAACTGGTCTAGATGTGATAGGTCTCGTTTTGAAAGTCGGTAGTAAATCAACGACCTTCCCTAGTTCCGACCCGTAACCAAACTTGCCAACCTAATACTTACCCGCGAGGAACACACTCTAGTCCACCGCCACCCACTCCATCCACCCCATCACCGCCACCCACTCCATCCACTCCATCCACTCCATCCACTCCATTTAATCGGGCTCATTCTTTCAATTTGTTGTTTTAATAAAGAAACATTTTGAATTAGATATTGAATTACAAAAATATCTTTTAAATTTTTTAAAATTAAAACTTTTAGGCTTTCGTTTTTGGTGTGATGATTGAGTTCACGATTTGTCACTTTGCAAAGAATCAGGTATTGAAAGGAAAGCTTTTGATTAAAGTTATTAAAATTATGATGAAGATAAATTAAAGTTAAGTATGGTTGTGTAAAGATAAGATCCAGGTAAAGCCCAGTTTTGACTGATTTGACTAGTCAAAAGTTTCTAGACCGGATTCGAAACATTTCGGATGTTTCAAAGTTTAAAATTAACCTACCGTAAATACTGTAATAGTACCCCAGCCCCCTCGTACAGTTGCGTAGTCGCAAAAGCTTTTTAGTATTTAATTTTTTTCAAAGCACCCGTACTTTCAAAAAATGCGTCTTTGGTATCAAAAAATAGCTGAAATTCAGGGCTATTTTTTGATACCTAAGCGCGCATTGTAGCTTAAACCAGCGTCGAGAAAAACTCGTTCAAAGCTAGACTACACAACACTCCGCGCCGTCATTATTTTTGGTATCAAAAAATAGCCCTGAATTTCAGCTATTTTTTGATACCTAAGCGCGCATTGTAGCTTAAACCAGTGTCGAGAAAAACTCGTGCAAAGCTAGACTACGCAACACTCCGCACCGTCATTATGGGGGTGGGGTACCATTACAGTATTTACGGTATTTTCTTTAAGGAACCAAATGGGGTGTTTGGCGAAGACGTAAAGTTTTGTTTAACTGTATATTTTAACCAAAAGATTATTAAGAGTTTGATCTAATTGAAAGATACTGTTCGGTTCTATCTAAATATAATGAATATTGATTTATTGAGAACGAGTTTTTGTTTAGAAAAAAAGTAGAAGAATCAAAAGCTGAACTGCATATAGATATAGCCGATTAGTAATCAAAAATGGTGTTTCACTCACGCAAAACATTCAGGAATTAACCCGCGGCGAGACGCAACCATCACTAATCGTGGACACGGCACTGTCAACTCTCTTCGGCGCTGCGAGAGACATCGATGAGCTGGTGAGAAGGGTGGCCTGCAGTCCACCGCCACCCACTCCATCCACTCCATTTCATCGGGCTCATTCTTTCAATTTGGGAGTTGGAGGGAATCCGGTCGATTCCCCGATCACTCCGAGAGACGACGGGAATCGTTTCTTTCGTCGTTTCCGCTCAAATCGTTCTTCAATGAGATCCTGTGCTTCACAAACTTTTGTTGCTTTTGATGAAGAGACAAAGGATCCAAGGATCGCACGCACTGTCAGTGTTTAGTTTCTTTTGGGCTTTGAAATAGAATGAGTGAAAGGAACAGTAGTCTGGAGAAGACAGCTTCGATAACTTTGATTTAAATCTTTAACTGTAATTCGAGTTCTCTAGACTACTGTTACCTTTTTTAATTTTTTTTTCTTCCCTTCACTCGACAAGATGATACCGTAGATGGTTTGTTTAGTGATAAATAGAAAGCATTTTTTGTTTATTTCATTTTCTTTTAAGCACTAATTTTTAGTATTTTGTAATTGTAATTAACAGCACGCTTTTAAAAAGTATTGCACCTTTTTTTTTGTTTACATTTTTGTTATAACTTTCAAAACTAATGAAATAAGTAAATAAAATTCAAATAAATTTTTTAAAATTTTAGAATGATGATGATTTGATGGAGAAAAACGATCAAAATCATATCGTTTTGAACATGTTGAGTCCGGAGAGAAATGAGCCACGATTGAGGAATTTTGATGTCAATAGCAATGGGACGAGGTGACATTTTTCGGGAATTCAAGCTTCGATCACTTGTCTTATATAAGAATTTAAAGTATTAACGTTTTCTGTGTTCTTTGAGCTCTCTGGAAAAGTTGATTCTTTATTCAAAACAATCATTTAAATCATTCAAATCATTCAAATCATTCTAACTCTCTGGAAAACTCGTTTCTTTATTCAAATCAATCATTCAAATCATTTAAATCATTCTAACTCTCTGGAAAGCTTGATTCTTTATTCAAATCAATCATACAAATCATTTAAATCATTCTAACTCTCTGGAAAAGTTGATTCTTTATTCAAATCAATCATTTAAAGCATTCAAATCATTCTAACTCTCTGGAAAACTCGATTCTTTATTCAAATCAATCATACAAATCATTCTAACTCTCTGGAAAGCTTGATTCTTTATTCAAATCAATCATTCAAATCATTCAAATCATTCAAACTCTCTGGAAAACTCGATTCGTTATTCAAATCAAACAGTAGTTTCAAATTGTTGAGCTCAAAAGTGACTCAAATTTTACATTTTACAATACTTTGTCAATGTTTAGAAAGTCCATCTTACAGTAGCATCTTTTTTCAGATATTTTGTCGGCAGTGATCGATTGAAGAGAAAACGTTCGAAGGCAAGCCTGGCTCGTTTGAGAGCTCAGGTAGCGCGCATGCAGCACGCAGTGAGTTCTTCACCGACCTTGGTTTATGCACCAAATCAAACCCATAGACTTTTAGATGTTAAGCATTTTTCCATTACCACCATTTTCCCAAATGGAAAAGAGTAATTTTTGGTTTTAAAAATCTCAACCTATCAATCCAGTAGTTGATTTAAAAAAGCTATTTTCTTTCTTTATTTTCTTTCTGTTAGCTGAAAGATCTAAAAGCTAAGGTAACTAAAATTTGAGCAGTGAGTGATGAAAGATTTCACAAGCTTGAAAGAGAGAGCCAATCACAATTTGAGTTTAAGCACATGAGCAAACGATTTGCACAGATGATTCTTGGTTAAAGGCAATGCATTGCCATTGAAATGTGCTTTAAGTTTCAGCATTCTTTTTCACTAAAGTATTCTATTAGAAAAGAAGGTACTGTAGTGAAGCGGAATACTTGAATTTGTAAAGATTTGTAAAGCTTTTATCAAGATCTTTTCAATTTCAGACAGCCGATGTGTCAAGGAGAGCGCTCAATTGGACAAGAACATTAAGAAATTTGAGAGGACGACGTGTTGCACAAAGAATTGATGAGAAGTGTCGAATCGTTTTCCCGGCCGTTTATCTTGTATTCAATTTAGCCTACTGGAGCTTCTATCTAGGTGAAGAGTTGAAGAGATCGCAAAATTCGGTTAAATAGCCATGTCATTGTTATTCAGTTGTTGGACATTTGATACGTCAAATGTTCAACAACCACTTTTCCCATTAGCAATCTAACTTTAAGCTCAAATTTCTTAGTGTAAAGCTGTTCAAATGAAATATTCTTGATATCATTAGATGCGCCAAGTCTTTCACTGTTGATTAGTACAAAAACTGCCGTAAATGTTGTATTAGAATGACATGTTATTCTATTTTTCAATACCCATCTAGGGTATCAATATCCGTCTAGGGTATCAATATCCGTCTAGGGTATCAATACCCGTCTAGGGTATCAATATGCCAATACCCGTCTAGGGTATCAATATCCGTCTAGTGTATCATTCTAATACAGCATTTACGGTATTTAATTGAACAGCCGAACACCAAGAAATTTGAGCTTAAAGTTGGATTTTCAATGACAAAGTGAGTGGAACGCTTATCAAATTTTCCACAATCATTATTGTCTTTTTTTCCAAGCAATCAATTGATCACAAAAAGCTTTTTAGCCTAATTAGCAAGCGCTTTCTTGTACGCCACAGAATTTATTGTTTAAGCTTACATTTGTCATTATAAAAATGCTAGTGCTAGACATAAATGTTCCAATCAAGATTTGGATTTAGGAATCTTTACTAATAGCAAAGAAAAACCTGGCTTAAGACTTGGTTTGGCAGTAGAACTGGTCTAGAAGGTCCTAGGTAGCTTTTGAGTTGGCTTGGCTCAAGAAATTGTTGAAAAGTTTTTTGAAAAGCCTAGATTTTTTGATAGAATCTATCACTACCGTAATCCAACCTGAAAGAAGATATTGAGCATCAACTTTAAGCTGTAATCCGCATGGACTATCGGGAATGATAAGAATTGTAGGAAGAGAGAAGCCACCCTGAATATCAGCCTTTTTTTATATCCCTCTAAAATTTGCACTTCAAGAGCTTTAAAACAACTGATTCCAGACACTGGAATATGCTGTATTTCCTCTGTATTAGTGAGAATTTTACAGTTTTCACAGAAACTCAATACCCTAATCCCCCACAAGATCATCAACTACATTTTCCAACCTCCATCAATAGGTTCTAAACGTTTTTTGAGATTTCAAGCAATTCCAATAATACTATTAGAAGAAATACATGCAAATTATAACTTAATGTTAACTTTACGATTGTACAATCTTGTTGTACGTTGGTACTCATGTTCGTACAACAGGATTCTACTAGGTTTAAGCTGTAATCCGCATGGACTATCGGGAATGATAAGGATTGTAGGAAGAGAGAAACCACCCTGAATATCGCCTTTTTTCTATCCCTATAAAATTCGCACTTCAAAAGCTTTAAAACAACTGATTCCAGACACTGGAATATACTGTTTTTAACTCTTAAATATTTTTGCTATCTGACAATTAAATCAAATGAATCACTACATATTCTTTGTCTATCATGCTTACAATCTTTCAAAAATCTTTTTTTTCATTGCTTTATCTTTCAGTTTTCAACACAAAAATCGTGCAAAGATCACAATGAGCTGCAACGTCGTCGCTTTGAGAAAAACATTTTCTTTTTTTGCTAATCATTTTCTGCTTTCCCCGTTGTTTAGCATGACCATTATGTGATACGAAAAATTTCCTCATTTTTTTTTGCAAAACTTATCTAAAAGTTTTTACGTGTTTACACGATTCTGCTCTTTTTCTTTTCTTGCTTCTCAATGCATTGATCTTCTTGAAAATTTTTGGTGCTGTATTTGATTGAATTTTTCATATTTTAACACATTCGCGACGAGGCTTTAGTGGCCCTAGTGGACGAGGGGTGGACGAGGGGCAAAACTAATCAATCAATTTTTTGAGTCTCTTGTCCAGAAAAACAACTTGTTGACCAAAATGAGTAAAATTTTCAGATTTCAGCTCTACTCCAACAGCTTTACAAAACCATTTTAACTTGAAAACATTTGAAAGATGTTGAGAAAGATGACAGATTGTTGAGATGAGAGTTGTCCAAGTCGTCCAGTAAAACTCTTGCAAGAGAAAAGGCCAAACCAATGTCGAGACTTCAGTATCTCGCGTTACTGCCCCAGTGGACGCGTTACTGCCCCAGTGGACGCGTTACTGCCCCAGTGGACGCGTTACTGCCCCAGTGGACGCGTTACTGCCCCAGTGGACGAGGGGTGTCTCTAGGAAACTAATAGTTAGCTATTAGCCCCGAAATACACCTCCTATATGTAAAATTTCATACTGAATCCGAATCTCTAATCATATTTTGAAAATATTCAAAGAGCCTCAAAAAGAACTAATCGAATCTTTTTACATTTTGAAATTATCTTGAAAAGTTGAGAAGTTATAGCGCGTCAAAAATTTTGTTCACCGGCCGACCGAATCGTCCCGAATGTGTTATTATTTCATAAAAACTCTTCTTAAAGGCTATAAAGGAAGTGTTGCTTTCAATCAATTACCCAATAAGTTCTAGAGATTTCAGAGCTAAAGATAATCTAAAGATTAAAGAAGCTTTTGATAAAGAAATAATCTTTCCTTCTCTATTCTTTGTGCTCTCGCGTAATCGCTGCTAGCTGGCACGGCAGCAAAAGATTAGTTACCCAATAGAAAGCTCAAAAAGAAAGAATGAGTATAGAAAATTCTTGAATTGATATTTAAAAAGAGTTCAAAGCTACGAAGTACAACACTTCCTTTGTGCTCTCTTTAATTTTACAATTCTACCCGTTATTAGAGTGTGTTCCTCGCGAGTAATGCGCTTTTTTAAAACGCACACTTAGGAAAAAAATTACCGTACTTTTCGTAAAAATTATTGTAAAAAAAATGACGAGCCCCGGATTATATACGACACTTTTTAAAGATACTCAGCTGTTTAACTGATTTGGTCGGAAATTCCCCTTCCAATGTAGAAAATGATTTTTTTGAAAAACCTCCGCAAAAGATTGCTTTTATAATTTTTTCGCGCACTTTTTACAAAACGCATTACTCGACAATTACTCGAGCTATTACTCATGCAAATTTACTCGAGTAATTACTTTACTCGCGAGGAACACACTCTACCCGTTATACCATTCATTCACCCGTTCATACCGGTATTTTTCTCTATTTTTTTTTTGATTTTCTTCTCCTTCTTTATCTTTAGATTTATTCAGATTAAATAATAAATAGTTCTATTTATCAATATCAACAAACAACAATGTTTCCTAGTTTCTAGTCTTTATTTTTCTCAAAAACCTAGTTTCTAGACTTTAGTTTTCTCAAAAAGAACGATTCAAAAAGCACCAATAGAAAATTTTACGATCAAGATTGTTGAAGAAAGAAGGGATTCTGAATTTTTGATTTAAAATTTATAAGATTCAAATGAATTAAGTAGATGAGTTCAATTTACGCAAGTGATTTAACAAGCGGCTCAACAACAGACGGACTAGAGTGTGTTCCTTGCGAGTAATTACTTACTCCCGAGGAACACACTCTAGTCCACCGCCACCCACTCCATCCACTCCATTTAATCGGGCTCATTCTTTTATCTTTAGATTTATTCAGATGAAATAATAAATAGTTCTATTTATCAATATCAAAAAACAACAATGTTTCCTAGTTTCTAGACTTTCTTTTTCTCAAAAATAACAATTCAAAAAGCACCAATAGAAAATTTGCGATCAAGATTGTTGAAGAAAGAAGGGATTCTGAATTTTGATTTAAATGAATTACCGTAATAATTCTAATAGAAGACCATGGTCTTCTAATTTTCAACCCCCCAAAATTGGTGAGTCAAAAAAGGAAAGGTCCCCACATGAACAAAAATAAAATAATTAAAAACTATTTCAAACGATAGCCCTTGCCCCAAAACATGCCAAAAACATGTCTAAAAGTGAAATTATTTTCTTGCCCGGACTCCAAGAAAACTTTCAAAACCAGGGGGACCACATGAAATTCCAAAAGATTTTTAATTTTTTCAAAAACTACGTCTCCAATTTTACTGCCGGGGCAAATATTACTATCTGGACCCAAACTTTCATTCTACTTGACAGAGTTTAAAAGTCCCGATTTCAAGGGGTCAAGGGGGTGGTCTTCTATTGGAGACTGGTCTTCTATTAGAGACTGGTCTTCTATTAGAATTATTACGGTAAGTATTAATTCAACTTACGCAAGTGATTTAACAAGCGGCTCAACAACAGACGTCAAGAGATCACAAACCAAATCATCCAAAGTATTCAAAAGACCAAGTTGATCGAAGAGACTGTCAGTTACCTAGAAATCATTATAATAGAACTTTTCATTACTATTTTATGCAATTCTAAGTCAATTTAAGAATTACCAAGCTCCACATAGGCGAAAGAACATTGAGAATTTGAAGACAAAGTGTAGAATACAGTTTTGAATCAGCAGTTAATAAGCCTAGATTTTTTGATAGAATCTATCACTACCGTAATCCAACCTGAAAGAAGATATTGAGCATCAACTTTAAGCTGTAATCCGCATGGACTATCGGGAATGATAAGGATTGTAGGAAGAGAGAAGCCACCCTGAATATCGCCTTTTTTATATCCCTATAAAATTTGCACTTCAAAAGCTTTAAAACGACTGATTCCAGACACTGGAATATACTGTTTTTAGCTCTTAAATATTTTGCTTTCTGACAATTAAATCAAATGAATCACTACATATTCTTTGTCTATCATGCTTACAATCTTTCAAAAATCTTTTTTTTCATTGCTTTATCTTTCAGTTTTCAACACAAAAATCGTGCAAAGATCACAATGAGCTGCAACGTCGTCGCTTTGAGAAAAACATTTTCTTTTTTTGCTAATCATTTGCTAATCAAAGAAGGTATTGAGCATCAACTTTAAGCTGTAACCTAGCTTTTGAGTAGCTTAAACCTATTCAAAAGCTAGGTTTAAGCTGTAATCCGCATGGACTATCGGGAATGATAAGGACTGTAGGAGGAACCACCCTGAATATCAGCCTTTTTTATATCCCTATAAAATTTGCACTTCAAGAGCTTTAAAACAACTGATTCCAGACAC